TTTGGGGGTAACTCACTAAGCTTTCGGGCTTACAGTTTCAGTGTATTGTTTCAGGTACTTCAGGAGATCATGACAAGGCGAAGGCGTGATCGTACCGCTCCTCATGTTTCAGGTACTTCAGGAGTTCGCAGGTACACACAAATCTTTAGGTTCACTAATAACTCAACTATATATATATATATATATATATATATATATATATATATATATATGTGTGTGTGTGTATGTATGTGTGTGTATGTGTGTATGTGTGTGTGATTGTAGTTATGAGTTGGTAAAATTGTGACAAAACCTAAATAGGTTGTACTTTAACATAAAGGAATTGTCTTAATAGGTTAAGTCATATAAGTGTTTTAACCATGATGTAAAATGGATTTATAGTATGAGAACTTGTATAACCAAGTAGTAGAGAAAATGCAATTATGTATGATTTAGTTGTATGATAGAAAATTAATATGTATATGTACATATGTGAGTATATTAAGCGCATCAAGAGGATCGGGTGAAGGAGCCAGAAGGTTGGAGTATCGTCTGCATAAGTTGTAACAAGGTAAGTAATCTTACTTCATTATGTTAATTATGAAGCATCTTATTGGTATGTTATTTTATATCCATATTACTTATCATTAATTGTTAATTAAACTGGATATGTTCGAGTAAATGAAAATGATATATTTTGGTGAACGTCGTGAGCCTTATCCGGTGTTATAAGGTAATAATCGTTTGTTGATCAATGATTGTGATTTATAATGGTGACTCTCAATTGGTGTTTGATATGTTTATTATTATTTGAGTAATTACAATTTTATTAAGTAATATATTCTTATTGAAGAACTTAAAATAGTTTTAATGGAAATGTATTCGACGATTTTCAGTTATTACTCAGTAAGCTTTATAGCTTATATTTGTTTAAAAATGTGTAGTATAGGATATAAAGATATGGTCAAAAGGAAAGGGTACGATATTTTGGAAATGGATGTGAAACCTAGATCGATGTTAGTTTGTTTTTTGTTTGTGTAACCTTGTAAACCCGATGGACGTTAGGTACTTTTGAACATGTAAAACTCTTTTGTTAAGTATTGTGTTTATGGTTAACATGAAAATACATTATGATATAGTTTAAAAATGGGAAATTTTTAGATGAGTTATAATGAAATATCGGGCGTTACAATCATCGTAAAATTATTGTAGTTATTAAGCATCTGCCGCCAACCGTCATGTTGAGCCGAAGACTGGAAGGACCGAAGCAAGTTGGTTGGATCAACCATTTACTCTTATTCAACTCCCACTCCGATCTCATGTCTCCAAATCCATATCCTCCCTTCATCCCCCCTATGTTTTATTACACAATCAATTTCTCTTTCCAAAAGGTAAATAGAAAATTTAAACATAAGACGTAACTCACTAATCCAACTTCTTTCCAAAACAAGGTTGTCGAACTATCTCTTACTTGTCTGTGAATAATTTAAAGCATAATCATCCCTTTATCATTGTGTTTATTAGTGACATTAAAATAACCAACATCCATTAATAACAAGACATGGTTATTCATAATGAAACCTAAACTAATGACACAACATAAACCGATAAACCAAAACCCAATTTTTAAATTTCCTACGTCTTATATTTTCCTTCGCAATTATGACGGATCGTCAACTACCTTTAGGTTGTTACCTTAAATAGACAATATTATACTCATAACGAAAGCTAAAGATAATTAATACAACGAATAAACCAAATCCCGATTTAAAATTTTCTATGCTTTATGTCATTACGAACACTATCCTATACGTCCCTTTACAGTATGACCTCTTTGACCTCATAATACAAGGCTCAAATCACCAACACTAAACCTTTGATCTACATTCCATATACATTGCATAAAAATGTCCATTTGCAATTTGACCTCTTTGACCTTGTAAATGCAAGGCTTAAATAAGAATACCAACAATTTATAAGCCCTAAAAGGAAACCTTTGATCTACATTACATAAAAGTGTGTCATCCCATGATTGACATCCCAGGTAAGTCTTTGGGTAGATTTACATTGATGATACAGTTTATTGTTTTTTTAAGTGTGTCTTAAGTTCTAATTTTGTTTTTTTTTTTAAATAAAAAAAATGAGGTCATTGGACTTGGGTTGGCACAAAAATTTTATACCATAAGAAGAATTAACAAAAATTAGCAGATGTTTGTTATACTCACAAAGACAAAACACCCTTAAAATAAAGCTCCAAAAAAACAACTCATGGACTGATATGTACATGCTGAAAATTGTGAAGGGTGAAGGAACTCTCTCTCTCTCTCTCTCTCTCTCTCTCTCTCTCTCTCTCTCTCTCTCTCTCTCTCTCTCTCCTAGTATTCTTGTTTTTTTCTCTCTCTATACTCACAATCTCATGCTGTATGTATATCCCTTGAAATCTATAGCCGTTACACATGTGTCGCTCTTCCTCGAGGTTCTTGCTCCCATGGTCATGCTTTTTGTATTTTTCGTAGGTTAAGTAGGATGATGGCACTGTTTATAATTGGTATACAGCCTGTAGTAGTGAGGATTGTTTTTCTTAATTAAAGGGTTTGCTGGAAACTGTGTTGTTGACATTGCCGGAGAGTAATGGCAGTGCAGGGTGCTAGCGGAGGAGGCCATGATGACCACCATGAAGCCCCCAATCATAGGCGTGGCAAGAAACGATACCACCGGTACACTAATGAGCAGATTCAGCTTCTCGAGGCGTAAGAGACTTCTACTGGGTTTTCCCTTTGTTATTTAGCATTTCAATTTGAATCCTTGATATTGATATCGTTTTTCCCATGGGTAATTGTAGAACGTTCAACGAATGTCCTCACCCAGATGAAAAAATGAGGTTACAATTGAGCCAGGAGTTGGGTTTGACTCCTCGACAGATCAAGTTTTGGTTTCAAAATCGCAGAACTCAGATGAAGGTTTGATCTTTTTTTCCTCTCTCCATATATAGATATATACATATATAGATGTATCTATATATGCGTGTTTATAGTTGGTATTTCTATAGGATATATAGGATTATATATTAATCTTTATCTATATCTTAATTATCTAATCTTTATGTGCTAGATTTACGCTTATAACAGTTGTTTTGCTTTTGCTGTTAGAACTGCTTTTCTTTTCGACTGTAACATACTAACATAAACCTCAAATCATCCATTCAGTATAAAAACACATATTTTCTCTCTAGATTTTATCAAAAATGATCAGATTAGGGTTTAATTCATGTGAAACTGATGAGATGGTGCAGGCAAAAAGCGAAATGGCGGATACTTCTTTGCTAAAGGTGGAGAACGATAAAATTCACAGCGAAAACGTTACGATTAAAGAGTCTTTAAATAATGTGATATGCTTAACTTGTGGTACAGCTCCTAGTGTTCAAGCTGATTGTCATGAAAAACAAAGACTTCGTTATGAAAATGCTCAGTTAAAAGAGGAGGTATATCCAAATATAATCCATCAATCCAATCATTTAAAGCCACATTAATACATAAAATAAGTGCATATAAATAATTTTATTTTCTTCTTCATTGCTAAACCCCATTCTCCTAATAATCATGGGGTAAGGGGAGGTTAGATGTCAACATGTCTCATAAGAAACCAATTATATATATGACCTTTTGATAATCAGATAATATATATCTATTTGTATATACGACAGTTGCAGAGAGTATCCAGCATTGTTTCACACTATATAGGGCGACCATTAGCATCTCAATTTTCACTGGCTCACATGGAACAAAGCCACTTATCTTCATCAGATTTATCAATGGTTACTTATGTTGGTGCTACACAACAAAGAATGATACCCAATGATAGTGATGGTCCTTCACTTGACCTTGATCTTCTAACCTCTAATGACATTAGAGCTTCAGCTAGTAGCACCATTCATCCGAGCTACACTTTGCGCCTTTTGGGCATGCACAAGTCTCTAATTGCTGATATCGCGACTAGTGCTCTAGATGAGTTGATGACGCTATTCCAAACTAATGAGCCTTTTTGGACCAAGTCAGCTGATGGGAGGGATGTTCTAGATATCGATAATTATAAGCGGATATTCCCTAAACCAAACGCTTCCATGAAGAACCATAATCTATGGACTGAAGCATCACGTGCTACGGCTGGTGTGATGATGGATAGTATGCAACTTGTGGAAATGTTTAGCGATTCGGTTAAGTATCTTTCTTTCTTTATGCTACATTTCCTTGATCTATTTCCATTTGTGTTTATATTATTTACTAACCATAATGGAGCTTTACTTGATCAGACTAAATGGGGTGATTTGTTTCCAACTATTGTGTTAAAAGCAAGAACTCTTGAAGTGATCTCATCTGGTTCGTTTGGCAACAAAAGTGGCTCCTTGCAACTGGTAATTTAATTTCTTCAGCTAGCTTTTAAGGTTTTGTTTTCTTATCTTATTGGTTTTTAAGACAAGAGGCATGACAATACTGTTGTCCGTTTATGCATGTTAATATTAGTGCGACAAGGTAATATTATATGTTGGAGTCCCCATTCTCTTATCCTACATCGGTGCGACAAGGTAATATTAGTGGTTATATATGTTGGAGTCCCCATTCTCTTCACAAGGGTTCTTTTGGAGAGACAATCTTGGGTTCAATATATATTTACAATGCACATACACACCTTGTAATTTTCCCATTGCTATGCTGATAAAGATGTGAGAATCCATAAGTTAGGTCTAATAGGGTTCAAGCGTGCATCATGTATGGGAACATTGTGTAGGCATTGGGACCAGTTAATGATCATAAATCCACAATTGTTTGCAGATGTATGAAGAGTTGCAGGTGGCTTCACCGGTGGTGCCAATAAGGCAATTCATTTTCTTTCGGTTTTGTCAACAAATCGATCAAAAAACTTGGGCAGTTGTTGATTTTTCATATCATCTTCCACAAGATGGTAACTTGCCTTATTCTCAATTCAATTCTCGACGCCTTCCTTCTGGATGTTTGATCCAAAGCCTGCCTAACGGATACTCAAAGGTTTGCCAATCTTCTATATATATATGGTTTACCTTATTATCATATGTGCATAATATCTTCAAGAACCCCTTTGTGTTTTCATAATGACAGGTTACTTGGATTGAACTTGTGGAAATCGAAGAGAAAACAGCGGTTCATAGACTTTACAGAGATCTTATCTACAGTGGATTAGCATTTGGAGCCGAACGATGGGTTGCTTGTCTTCAAAGATCATGTGAACGAATTGCTTGTCAATCAATGACTAATTCTTGGATTTGTAAACTAGTAGGAGGTATAATGTTCATTAATCTTTTCGTGATCTTAAAGACTTGGAACTATTAATTCTGGATTTCCATATTAAAATGTTCAAATTCTTGAACAGTGATTCCATCAGCCGAAGGTAAGAAAAGCATGATGAATCTCGCACAAAGAATGGTGAACAACTTTTGTGCGATTATTAGTCCTTCTGATGATCATCAATGGTCATGTGTCTCGGATTTTGATGACTTTGAGATCCATGCCAACCTTTACAAGTCTACAGACTCTGTTCATCCGAACACCACAGTTCTTAGTGCAGCTGCCACTGTTTGGCTACCACATTCTCCCCAGTTTGTCTTTGATTTCCTTCGAGATGAAAAGAATCGCCCCAAGGTACTATAATCCAACACATAGGCAAAGAACTTATTGGAAAACCACATTTCCTTACTTTCTCTATCATTAAATTATTTATTCTTGATCAAGTAATTAATAATAAACATACTCATATATAACTTACCAAATTACGAGTGTTGTTTCTTTTTACAATAATTTACATAACAGATACGCAACTTAATCTGTTAAGCTATATATCGTTTATTTTTATTTTTTTACTTTTAACGACTTGTTATGAACAAGATTTTTTTATATAAAGTCCAAAAAGGTACTAACTTTTTACAAGTAATCCCTTAATTATTTTTCGCATCCATAAACCTAAGTATACCGTTATCTTTTTCGATATCTTTTCAAACTTATTTATCCTGACAACGCTTTATCCATGTTAAATTCATTACTTAAAAAAGAAACAACGCCTTACTAGATCTTGTTTAATTTTGATAGTGGGACGTGCTCACGAACAACAAACCTGTCCAAGAGGTTACACGTATTGCAAACAGGGCTCACCCTGGCAATTGCATATCTGTTCTTCAGGTAAGTAAGCTGACTTAATGCTTGAGGCATGGAAAATCGGGCTATTTATGTTTGTTGTTTTTCAGTTCTAGTCTATTTTTTAACATTGGCAATTGATGTAACAGGTTACAAATACCAGAGATACCAACATCTTGATCCTACAAGAGAGCTGCACTGACAAATCAGGATCACTAGTGGTGTACTACCCGGTTGACTTGCCTGCTATCAATATGGCCATGAATGGGGAAGAAGTTTGTGTTCCATTGTTGCCATCAGGCTTTGTCATCACCACAGATGGACGCAACAGGAGCACCATGTCAACGAGCACGAAGGAGGGTTGTAGTGCAGGATCAACAGGTTCACTTGTTACATTGGTGTTACAGATGGTGGTTAGCAGTCTGCCAGGGGAGACACTAGGGGCACAGTCGGTGGCCACCATTAGCAACTTAATAGGAGGCACAGTTCGAAAAATTAAAGCTGCCATGAATTGATGTTCTCCCACCACCTGAACCATTTGTATTTGTTATGTACTTCTGCCATGTTGCATTTACCATCTTCAACAACTGAAACTTTTATTTTCTTCCTTCATTAATGAGTTTACATTCTTTGCTTTTTGAAATTTACTTTTAACACACATTATATATATATAATTCTGAGGCGTCGGACCGAAAACCCAAGCAATTTTGGTCCCAATATCAAGGTTTCTTATCAATTTTGGTTCTTTGAACCTTGAAATAAGGACTAAAATTAAAAAGTTCATGGGATGATGCTTGAAGTCCTCTTCTGCAGTTCTTTTTCTCCGTCATCGGATTCTCTTTGTCTTGAGGCTGTTTACATTTTTCCGGGGTAGCTGACGTTTGAAGAAACTGTTTGGGGTGTTCTTCTCTGGCGACTACATTGCCTATCTTTATGCCTGTCATTTGGTATTGAACTTGTGTCTATAAAGCAAGTATCCTCTAATTCCACCCTTTATATCTCTACTTTCAACACCACTTCATTAACCATTAAAGAATTTTGATAGCATGGTTTTTGGTCTGTCGCACCTTATTTTTATCTTACTTTGGGTATTTGAATACCAAATCAAACTCTGTATAAAATATAATTTTTTATCATACGTTTAGGTCTTTTTTAACAAACTTAAGAGATTACAAAACAACAAGTTGAATAAGATGTTCCTAAAGCAAAAATGAGTCCCTAGACTTTTCATAAATCTTGTACATAGTCAAAAACTACATTCCAGAAACGGTTTGGTTAGTCAACTTAGGAGATCATGCCAATATGTGTTATATGAGATATGCCACTTTTGTGCCTTCTGTGATAACCATATGCTTTGGAAATTTGGTTAATATGCCTATATTGGGTACACGATACGATTATTTGCAACTATGACATGTTATATGAAATGATTGATATGTGATTTTTATTATGATAAGTATCTCCAACTATATGCATGCTATAATCATCGATTATGATTACATGAATATTTCATGCTTGTACTTAATTTACGATTGATTTTGTAACATCCCAAAATTCAAGACCAAAAATTTCATTTTTAAGTAAGTAATTTTAAGACCAATAGTATAAAACATCCATAGTGTCATCACATGTCAAAACCAATATGTCAATAATCAAAACATGTCATAATAAAACAACATCAGAGTATAACTCCCAAAGATCTCATGTGCGGAAATCATGGTGTGATGCGTTGCAATCATGCCGGCTCCTTTCCTTTCGAAGAAGAAATACCTGAAACCAAAACTAAAAACCGTAAGCACGAAGCTTAGTTAGTTCCCCCATCATACCACATACCATACAACAAACGTACTGCCTAGCATATCCGGGTGCTGGCCTACCCCTTCGGTCTATTCCAACCGGTAACCGCCTAGCATATCAGGGTGCTGGCCTACCCCTTCGGTCTCTTTCAACCGGTAACCGCCTAGCATATCTGGGTGATGGCCTACCCTTTCGGTCTCTTTCAACCGGTTACGGGGACTATTTCACCCCCTACCACTACTACATAATATCCTAGCATATACACATAAATCACATACTGCCTAGCATATATGGGTGTTGGCATACCCCTTCGGTCCTTTCGACTGGTTACGGGGACTATTTCACCCCCCCTACCACTACCACATAATAACATAGCATACCCGCACATAAACCTCAACAGATAATGGCATACCAAACAATTACCACAAAGACAATCATCTCTACTGAAACAACTACTTGTGGGCCGGCATTAGTGACTTCGACTTAGTCATACCGGGAAGGTAACTCACCTCAAAAGCTGCACAGAACTTGCTAAGGCCCGACTCCGAATATCAGCTCTCTACTCAATGCCTACATTCACCAAGTGATCAATCCATCAAAATCCTGAAATATCCAAACTGTCCCCAAAAGTAAAACTTGGTCAACCATGGTCAAAGTCGAGGTCAACAGTCAAGGTCAACAGTCCATGTTGACCCAACTCGTCGAGTGCATCCATCAACTCGTCGAGTTCCTTCAGTCTTCAGAAAACCGAGAAAACCCTCGCCAACTGGCCGAGTTTGCTCAGTGATCAAAAAGGTCGGGGGACCACGACCCAACTCGCCTAGTTGGATAAACAACTCATCGAGTTTTCCTTAGTCTTAAATCATTCAGTCACTTCCAAGCGAGTCTAATGCCTCCAAACCATAGATATGGTCCCCTTGGGCTGAGATACCACATAAAGTTGCTAACTTTACGTCCATGTATGGTATCAAGAGGCTAAAAACATTAAAACTAAGCTTCATAAGGGACCTAGGGCATAGAGGAGGGCCAAGAAATGATAAAGTTGGCAACTTTAAGTCTCAATAGGCCATGAAATGTCTAGATCTGAAGTCATAACTTCATAACATGTCCAAATCCATGAATGACTCCAAAATAAGCTACTAAAGGCCATAAACTTGTCAAAGAAGAGATCTGGCAAATAAATAGTCAAGGTATCGACTTTATACCTCCAAATGGTTGCAACAACACCGAAAATCCTGGATCTAAAGCTTCTTCCTTCAACTTTGCACCATAAACTTCACACTCCTTCAAGAAAAGCACCAAAGAACACTCGTTAGGCTCACACACACTCAAAATGGGGAAAGAGGCACGATTAGGGTTTTCTCTGTACTGAGGGGACGATGAGGGAGGCCACAATGAAATATTAAGGCCTTTAAAAAGGGTACAAAACCCTGATAATTAGGGTTTCATTTCTGCCTGCCTACTTTTTGAGTTGAGGCCTCCCAACTCGTCGAGTAGGTTTCTTAACCCGCGTCCCAAATCATCTCTACTCGACGAGTCTGGGGCTCCCAACTCGTCGAGTTTCTCTATAAAAGTGCATAAATTATGATTTTAAATACATACCAGGAACCAGGCGTAACAAATCTCCCTCACTTATCTAGACTTCATCCTCGAAGTCTGCTGCGGATGGAAATAGCTCTGGGTAGTGCTCCCTCATCTCATCCTCTGGCTCCCACGTCCATTCCGAGCCCTTGCGGTGCTGTCACTACACCTTCACCAACTCTACCCTCTTGTTCCTCAGATCCTTCGTCTTCCTGTCGAGAATGGCTACTGGTCTCTCGATGTAGTTCAGGCTGTCATCCATCTGAATACCCTCTAAAGGCACAGCTGTGGACTGTCTACTAAGCACTTCCGCAGCTGGGAGACATGACAAGTGTTGTGTATCTGTCTACGTTCTTCCAAGAGATCCAACCTATACGCCACCGTGCCCACCCGGGCTATAACCCTGAAAGGTCTGATATACCTGGGGCCAGCTTGCACCGTTTTCTGAAGCGGGTGACACCTTTCCAAGGTGACACCTTCAGAAGGGCCATATCCTCGACCTGAAACTCCAAGTCCGATCGGCGTCTGTCGGCGTAGCTCTTCTGCCGACTCTGGGACGTCTGAAGTCTACTCCATACTTGTTGGATCTTCCCCGTCATCTTGAGTACGACCTCGGTACTCCCCATGACCCTATGACCAACCTCACCCCAGCATATTGGGTTCCTTCACTTCCTCCCGTAAAGCATCTCGAAGGGAGGCCGGTCGATACTGGCGTGGTAGGTATCCCAGCTACCACCAAAGTCTAGAACGCACGCTCGCAGCATATCCTCCAAGGTCTGGATGGTCCACTCGCTCTGACCATCCGTCTGGGAGTGAAAATTCATGCTGAAGTGCAGACGAGTACCCAACCAACTCGTCATGAAATTTCTTCCAGAATATGGAAGTGAACCGCACATCTCTGTCAGAAATCACAGAAACTGGCACCCCATGTCGAGCTACTACCTCTCTGATGTAGATGTCTGCCATCTTCTCCCCCAAAATACTCTCCTGAATCGGTATGAAATGGGCGCTCTTGGTAAACCGATCCATGATGACCCATATCGCGTCAACTCCATGCGCCGTCCGAGGCAACTTCGTAATGAAGTCCAGGGTAATATCCCTCCATTTCCACACAGGGATATCCAATGGCGGCGTCTTTCCGTGAGGTCTCTGGTGTTTGGCCTTGACCTTCCTGCAGGTCAAGCACCTCTCGACGTACCAGGCTACATCCCGCTTCATTCAAGGCCACCAGTAATCAGGACGGAGATCTCTATACATCTTCGTCGCCCCGGGATGGATGAAAAATCTGGATTTATGTGCCTCCTCCATCAAGATTTGGCGCACACCGCCCGCGTACGGAACCCACACTCTACGATGGATTGTCAATAGTCTGCAGCTATAATAGTCGAAGGAGGAAATCTGACCCACGATACGCTCACTCTTCCGGTGTTCCTCCTTCATAGCCTCCTGTTGAGCGTCCTGAATCCACCCCAAAAGCGGAGTCACTAATGTCATCCTCAGGAAGATGTCTCTAATCGGAGCCGCGAATGCTTTGCGGCTAAGTGTATCGGCCACAACATTGGCCTTCCCCGGGTGGTAGAGGATCGCGCAATCGTAATCCTTCCCCACATCCAACCATCGTCGCTGTCTCATGTTCAGATTTGGTTGGTCCATCAAGTACCTCAAGTTCGTGTGATCCGTGTAAATGGTACAACGGACCCCATAGAGGTAGTGTCGCCAAATCTTGAGGGCAAAAACAACTGCCCCCAACTCCAGGTCGTGCATCGGGTAATTCGCCTCATGAGGCTTCAACTACCTCGAGGCGTAAGTGATGGCATGCCCTCTCTGCATAAACATTGCGCCCAAACCTGAGATAGACGTATCACAATATACTACGAAATCCTCAATTCCCTCTGGTAGGGCTAAGATCGGCGCCTCGCACCACCTCTGCCTCAAAGTCTCGAACACTACCTGCTACTCAGGCCCCCAGCGAAAGACATCAGCCATCTTCGGTAGTCGGGTCAGGGGTACCGTTATCTTGGAGAAATCCTGAATGAATCTCCAATAATAGCCTGCTAAACCGAGGAAGCTCCGAATCTCGAATGGAGACATCGAAACCTCCCATCTCATCACGGCTTCCACCTTGGCCGTATCGACC